GGAAGCTCCAAAGCAAAGGTGGCCATTAGAGGAGCCCCACGTTAGGCAAAAAGGACGAGGTCCTTGTACCACCATCCTGCTCAGTCACTGGCTGGGGCCACCACGAGAAGAAGGCGTTAGCTGTCAGCTGGAGGCTGATAGCTCATCAGAGTCCCAGCAGCCAGCAAGTCCTTTCTAGAAAGAGGATCTGAGCTGTTAACTGCATCTCCAGTCTGCCACAGGGGCTGTCACTGAGGGAGGAAAGGGGGAAACCACAGTTTTGAAAACAGGGCTAGGAATCTGGTTGTGCCCAATGGGAAGCCTTATTAGGCAGCCTGTCGGGGGGATTTGTCCCTCTATGTGGTATTTCACTCCACCCCAAAATCTTCAGTGAATTTCTTGATGCAATGACATTATGAGGACTTTAAAGGAGCACAGCTGGTGTAGCTCAATGGTTGAGCATCGACCTATGAACCAGGAGGTCGCGGTTCCATTCCTAGTTAGGGTCCATGCCTGGGTGCGGACTCGACCCCAATAGGGGACATGCAGGAGGCAGGTGATCAAGGATTCTTTCTCATCATTGATGTTTCTCTCTCTCTCTCTCTCTCGTTCTCTGAAATCAATAAAAATATATTAAATTTTTTAAAAAAGGATAAGGCAGCTGAGAAAGTATGGCCTTTCCCCTTTTGTCCCTACATCTCAACCTCTATTTGGAGACCATACTAGGATTATAATCCTGGAGTTCCTAGAAGTGACCGGCGGCAGAGAGTGATGAGACACAAGATGGAGCCAACTGCTACTTTAAAATAAACTGAGGGATACCCCCACCCCACCACCCCTTCCCAAACACAACAGTTGAAAGCAATCCTGGTTCTGAGGGAAATAGTAGCCTGTCTCTAAGAACCTTTTGCCTGCTGCTATACAGAGCTCCTGTAAAAGACATACAAACACTGGGTGGGTGATTTCTAAACAGTGTTCATAAATAACTGCCTAAATACAGGGCAATCTGGGGGAGGGGGGTTGAAAAACCTGAAATTGAATAAGCTATGCAACAGAATTATGAGATTCTGGATAGAGCAATATTTCACAAAATTAATCATCTGTTACATTTAAATAGGCAGAGACTGTGTCAGTCTCTGGCACCTTCAGATCCATTCACTGGTGTGTGTGTGTGTGTGTGTGTGTGTGTGTGTGTTTTAAATAAATTATTTGTCAACAGTTAAACATCAAATATCTCATATTAAAATCCAGATTTCTACCTTCTGCTTAAAAATCCCAAGATCTAGCTATGCTGGGCTGGCATTCTCAATGACAATCATGGGAATGAGTATGCCTCGTTCTGTGAGCTTGCAGGTCAGTGGGACCCCCTTCCTCATGGCCTCCCAGCCACTGAGGCCAGGGTATGTCAATACTTATCACTGAATTTACGCCATCAACCAAAGTTGAAAACCTTCTGCGTCAATATATGAGGGTAGGGCAGCAGGTAAATTTACTGTAGAAAAACAAATCCCCCAGAACTTCTTTTTAAGGTAATTTTACCATAGTCATTCATTTAAAACATTTGGCCCAAGGTACAAACAGATTTTCACCAAACACACAATATGTATACATCCAAGGTTGTTCATTATAGCATTGTTTGAAATAGCAAAACACTGAAAGCTACTTAAATGTTCATCAGTACGAGACTGACTAAATAAATTATGGGATACCCACACAATGGAATACTGCACAGCTATTTTTAAAGAGAGAGAATAGAGTAGATCTATTGTGTACCACTCAGAACAGTCTCTACTTTAAGAAACAAAGGAACGAAGGGGGATAGAAAGAAAGAAAAGAAACCAGTGATTTGAAGGGACCAGTGATGTATAGTGTCAGACCATTCATGGGAACATATTTAAGGGGACAATGCACGTAAATGCATAGGAAGTTTCTGGAAGGATACACAAGACCAAGTGCTACATGGGTAGTACGTAAAAAGAAGCGTAGGGAAGAGTTACTTTTTCACTTCTCTTTTTAAAATCATTAATATGTGTTACTTATATGATTTTAAAAATATATATTTTAATGATTAAAATAATAACAAATTGATGATGAAGTAAAATTCCAATTCAGAGAAAATTAATTTTTTTTAAGAAAACTGTCATTCTCCAACAATGTCAGAAAAAACAAGTGTAGCTATTTGACATTGACAGAGGGTCAGATTGCCATGAGTCACTATGGTTTCACATATGAAAATAAAAACACCTACCTCATGAGATGGGAAATATTCAATAAAATATCTAGAAAGCACCAACCTTTACCAACTCTTAAAAAGTTGCTATCGCCCTAACCGGTTTGGCTCAGTGGATAGAGCGTCGGCCTGCAGACTCAAGGGTCCCAGGTTCGATTCCGGTCAAGGGCATGTACCTTGGTTGCGGGCACATCCCCAGTAGGGGGTGTGCAGGAGGCAGCTGATCGATGTTTCTCCCTCATCGATGTTTCTAACTCTCTGTCCCTCTCCCTTCCTCTCTGTAAAAAAAATCAATAAAATATATATATTTTTAAAAAGTTGCTATCCCCAGCCCTCCCACACTGTCCATTCCTGACTTGTGTCAAATGATAGCACATGAAACAAAAACCAATCTGGAAGGATTATTACAAAACCCAAGATTTAAATTCCATTCCAGGTGAATTTCCTTCTGGACCACAGTCAGCCCTTGGAGAAGATGGGAGTACAGTCCTCAACCACAGAGCATTTCCTCAAATCTGCAGATGGTACCATCTCCATACAAGAACAATCCCATTGTCTATTAAAGTTCCCATTTCAAAGAGACTCCAACACATCCATGCATTTTCCCCCAAAATGTCCTGCCCACATATCCAACAAACCACCTTGATGAGGAGTGGGAACTGGAGATCCCACACTTCTGCCCTTTTCTTTTCAGATCCCCTCCCTGGTGTCCCCTGTACGCTCCCAAATGGTGCTGGAGACCAAATATCGTTCATTATTTGGTCCATGCCCAGAGAAGGAGAAGCCAGTGTTCACGGAGCTCCCAGGCCAGCATTCTCTTCCCAGAACCCTTTGCTCTTTGGAGTACGGAGTCCCTCCATCTCCCTCACAACCTCAGCTCCTGGCTCTGGCTACTCACCTCTGGGCAGGAGGTGATGAGAGATCAAATTCGCCCTTCAAGTTTGTCCCTTTGAACTAAAAGCCCTGAGAACCCCTACCCCAGTCCTACACACGCTCTCCACAGCCCCACACACAGGTGGAGAACGCTGGGAAGGGTTCCCACAGTGCATTAGCTCTGAACAGAGGGAGGAGGAAGAGCAGTGTCACACTATCCAGCCTGTCAATAATTCATGAGTTTCAGACTGAGGGGCACCAGTCAGAGAGTCAGTTTTCCCCGGATATGGGGAAAATTAGACTTAAGCTCTCTTATCTCATCGGGATGTGCTGAGTACCAAAACTGAGTACCACAGCCGTAACTTATTGGTTGAGGAATATACTATAAATCCATTGTGTGTTGTTATAATACTTGCTTGCTACCCACACACACCCTTTTGACGGCTAAAATCCCCTTTTTGGCTGATCAGCTAACCTGTACATACACTAAATGAATCTTTAGCAAGTATAAATTCTATTAAACAGCAATCCTCCAAACTGAATTTCACAGACCAGCATTCTCTCTCCTCCAATTGTAGGGACTGACATAGGGTTCCCAAACTGGTGATTTCACCAACTAACCACACTTTTCTCAACCTACCCATCTGCTTTCATCATCTTTTCTTAACAAAAAGACTAATACACACACATACACACACAAAAGCAAAAGCCTATCCCAGAATAAAGGAGTATCTGTAGAGTTAAATAAGCTTAGCTTTATGATGCTCACTACATTTTCTTTATTTTCTCATTTTGCCTTGAACTAGTGAAAACTTTGCCATGGATCCGTACCACTTCTCAGTCTGGCTTTTAGAGGCCACTGGATTAAACCAATGCAGACACTAGCACTTGGGTCTGCCAGGGCCTTTCTACAGTGTACTATAAGCCATCCAGATTTATGAATTCTCCCAGAAACCCTGCAGGGAGATCATTTCAGCCCACTTGGCAGAAGTGGAGGCTGAAGTCTCAGACACAATTTATAGTGGAGAGGACTTTATTCATCATCTACTCCAGCATTCTTAGTTTACAGATGAAGAGTCTGGCCTCTGGCAGCAATAATAATTACTTTATGGTGGCAATAATTACTATGCTTAGTAGTTTACGGTTTATAAAGTGCTTTTACATTCAACAAATATGTATTGGAGGCCAGGACCTGGGGACTTGGTGTTTGTGGAGAGTGTTCCCGAGTTCTCTGTATCCCACTGGTTGGGGGCCCTCTAGCCTCCTTGCTACCACTTAGGCCCTGTATAACGGGGAAGTCCTCTTGGGGTAAAGGGTATATGAGACCTGTCCAGCCAGGATCTTTATCCCTGCACTCTGGTTACCACACTGATCAGAGCCTGCCACCCAGGCCTGTCAAGATGGAGGTGACCTTGGGCTAGAATGAAGGGCAGTGTGGGGCCTGGCCCAGCTGTCCCCATTATGTCTCCCTCCCAGGCGCCTCCACCCTCACCTGAGACCCTCGTGTAGTGCACACAGGCCTCATCTCTATGGGCAATGTCAAAATAATTGCCCCGTTATGGCCTGTCATATATTTAGACCCAGATTTTTCAGAGAAGGTCCATCCTGAAGTTCTGGGAAGCAAAAGCAACCAGCTCAAAGCTGCACCCCTTGCCCCACCGCCGAAAAATGACGTGGGCAAGCAGATGTGGAAGGAGGGGTGCGAGGGGTTCCAGCAGTGGGGTGGGCCCTTCAGGAAATCTGGACGCACAGCCCTGTCCCATACCCGCCAGAGCAGAACAGGGAGCTGCGGGGCGCGGCAGCCATGCGCCGGCAGGGGGCGCCCGCAACCACAGCCTGTCCCCCGCGCAAAGGGCCGGCGCTGAGCGGGAGGAACGGTCCTGTCCAAGGGCGGGCACGCGGCGGGGAGACGGCCCGCCCCTCGCGCCGCCCCACCACGGGGCGCGGAACCTTGCACAACCGATCGGCGCCATGCATAAGGCGGGGCTGCTGCTGGGCGCCTGTGTCCGGTCTTGGAAGTCGGTGCGGATGGCTAGCTCCGGAGTGGCGCGCCGGGACCCGCTCGCGAATAAGGTGGCCCTAGTAACGGCCTCCACCGACGGGTGAGTGCCCGGCCTGGAGTCTTTGAGGCCCCCCGTTGTCTGGACAGGCGGTAACTCCCGTCCTTTGCCTCCCGGGTCGCGTCCTCAGCCTCACACGCGGCCCAGGAAGTCAGGGACCACGTGGTTGGCCGGCAGCGTCCCAGTCTCCTCCGTTGCTGCCTCTGCGCCATTGCGCCAGCTCAGTGCTGCCCCCTTCAACCCAGTGCCTCAGGGTTCTGCGCTGCCCCAGTCCACTGGCCCTGAGTCTAGGAAGACCAGATTTTAAAAATACTATAAATATATATATATATGTTGTCCCACTGCCTCCATGGACTACGGCAGTGTTCCAGACACCCCATTTGGGCACCTCGACAAGTCTCCCAGACAAGTGCCCCTTACCTAGACAAGACTCACCTATTCAAATTTTTGTCTGGCTGAGAATATTTTGGCCTCCATTGCACAGCCTTCTCTGCACCCACCGCTCTTGTCTATATTGCTTCTCATCACAGGACTTTGCTAGACACCAACTCGGCACAAATCTAAAATACAAATGGACTGGAAACGCTAATAGCTAACAATTGCAAAATGTATAGCCCTCACTCCCAGGAGAGTAAAATAAAAAATTTACGTTTTTGACCAGAGACCCACCCTTTCATATGCACACCAAAACATAACTAACGATAGAATTTTGAGATGATGCAGACTAATAAGGTCAATATTTGGGGGCAGGGCTCTTCCAATCATGGAAGGGCTGCTGCTGCACCCCTAGCTCATTTCTTTCCCCTCATTCCCTACAGGGTACGGGGCGCCCCCTATACTCCGTGGTGGTGGGCCCTGTGGAAGATGATGTCACTTTCTGGGAACCTAGTCTGAGGCCAAAACCATAAGAAAACTAAGTAAACGAGTGTCCAAAAGGAGAGCTAGAATTCAAACCAGGGCTGTCTGACTCTGGAGCCCGTGCTATCGACCTCTTCCCCGTGCTGGCCTTGACCGTCCATATCTCTCTCTGCCCACAGGATCGGCTTGGCGATCGCTAGGCGGCTGGCCCAGGACGGGGCCCATGTGGTGGTCAGCAGCCGGAAGCAGCAGAACGTGGACCAGGCAGTGGCAGCGCTGCAGGGGGAGGGGCTGAGCGTGTCTGGCACCGTGTGCCACGTGGGGAAGGCTGAGGACCGGGAGCGGCTGGTGACCACGGTGAGCGGCAAGGATATGGGCACAGAGCCAGGAGGTGGCAGAAGGGAACCAGCCTCAGCCCCCTTCCCAGCTTTCCTGGACCACATGGGTGTGATCCAAGCCAGCACTATTAACTACAACATAACAGTGTGTTCTGCATACCCACACCAGTCCACCAGCACACTTATTGTGTGCCTTTCTGTTATGTCTCTAAGAATCACCCCATCATCCCAATCAGAGAATCAAAAACCACTCTAATGCTTTAGCCCTTGGGGGCACCGAAAAAAAACACACAGCTGGTCCCGATTCTCCAGTAGTTTCCAATTTAATTGGGTAGATAAGAAGGGTAGATGCAATCACAAAATAGATGTTCCCGCCTATGAGCAAGTCAGCAGTCAATCCCTAGTTCTTCAGCGTCGAGGCAGTCCCTGGAGACATGCAGGAGGAAGCCCACCATGTTTCAGCCACCTACTGTGTGCCATTCACTTTGTTCAGAGTGTTACACAGGTCATCTCTCAACCTGACAACAACCCAAACAAGGCAAAGACTATTCTCCTTGTTTACACTCGGCTCAGAAAGGTGGAGCCGTATCCCAAGGCCCAACAGCCAGTAAGAAAGGAGCTGTGTGTCATCCAGACCTGCCAAGCTGCCGACAGACTGCCAGGCGTTTCCCCATTATCGTCAGGTCAGGCCTCGTGTGCCCACTTGGACTTTACTCGCAAAGGCAGGTCTAGGCCAGTGTCAGAGCTGGTACTTGGCACCAGCCTTCCAGCTACACAGGAAAACACGAACATCTGGCAAAGAGGCTCCCCTTCTCTCAGGCTCGGGGCCTACACTTCATTTCCTGGAGTGAAGAGAGAGTCTACCCTAGAATGGAAAGTGCGGGATTGTACTAACCAAATGGCAGAAATTATGTGGGTAATATTAGAAGAGGGGGATGTTAAACAATGGCCGATGGCATAAGGTTATTCCATTTTGAAAGAACTGTTTGGGAATGCTCAAGTGAGCATTGGAGCCAGGCTGGGGTGGCTCAGTTGGTTGAGCATGGTCCCATGCACCTTTCGATTCCCAGTCAGGGCACATGCCAGGGTTATGGGCTTGATCCCCAGTAGGGGGCATGCAGGAGGCAGCCAATCAGTTTTTCATCACTGTTCCATGAATGTTTCTATCTCTCCCTCTCCCTTCCTCTCTCTCTAAAAAAAAAACAATAAAAACATATTTAAATATATATATACCTGTTTTTTTAAAAAAATGTGATTGGAGAAAGCCAAAGGTAGGTTCAAGAAAGTGACCTTGTCTGGCATAAGCTGCTGGACAAAGCCCGAGATTGGGACCTCGATCCTGAGGCTGAAGGGAGCCATCTGGGATGCTGGGCCAATTAGTGACTAGCCGTATGAAAGTATGTAAAACTTAATGTCAAAATCCTGCAGCCCTGGCCCAGTGGCGAAGCTCGAGCTAAACCTTGAGGAGGAGGTGGATGGACACATGGTGTAGGACAGGATTCCAGATGAACCTGCAAAGTGCGCAGGCAGCCCACGAGGGACTGCAGGGAAGAGGAGAGCACCGCCAGCCCCACAGCAGAGAGCGCAGGGTCAGGAGTGCTGGTGTCATGGGCTGGTGGGAAGGAGGACACTGGAGCCTCCACAGCCTCCCAAAGGAGTTCCGACATCCTTGTAGGAAGTAAGAGGCCATGTGAGGTGTTGAGCAAGATGGAAATGTTATTAAAGAAAGAATCTGGTGCTGGTAGGAAGGATGTATGGGACCAGAGGAAACTCTGAGCCAAGGAGATCCGTGAAGAAGCTGTAGCTGTCACTCAGGTCTAGAGCAGTGGTGGTGGGACCAATGGGATATGCCCAAGAGGCGTCTAGTGGAACCAACCAAGACTTTTTTCTAACCCCGCATCAAGAAATGGGAAGCAGAGGAGAGGAGCAGAGCAACTCCCAGGGCAAGTCAGGGTGGGGAGTAACAGGATACTTGTTAGCAATTTGAGATGTGTGCCACCAGTTGCCAGCTGTCACCCTGTAATGAGGAAAGCTGTGCTCTGAGGATAGTTACTACCCGGTAACCTCCCAACCTGCACCTTGAAGCTTCTCAAAGGTGTGGTGAGTGGAAACCAGATCAGCCGCTGCTCCACTTGATTATATTTTTCTAAAAAAATACTAGTGGCCCGGTGCACAAAATTCATGCAGGGGGTGGGCGCTGCCCCTCAGCCCGGCCTGCACCCTCTCCAATCTGGGACCCCTTGGGGGAAGTGCGACTGCTGGTTTAGGCCCGAAC